CCTGGTATAAGTGGATCACACAGTGTTTGTTCTTCTGTGACTGACTTACTTCATTTAGCATAAGGTCCCAAGATATATCCACCTTGTGGCATGTATCAGATGCTCCTTCCTGTTGAAGACTGAGTAATATTCTACTGTCGATATGTGCCACATTTTGTGTATCCATTAAAATTTATCTATTACAATAAATATCCATTGAAATTTATTTATCTATGAATGGACACTTGGGTTTCTTCCATCTTTTGGCTATTGTGAATAGTGCTGCTGTGAACGTGGGTGTCAGATACCTGTTAGAGTCATTTTCCAGTTCTTTCGAGTATATACTCAGAAGTGGAATTTGCTGGATCACATGATAATTCCAGTTGAAACTCTTTGGGGGACTGTCATACCGTTTTCCACAATGGCTGCCCCATTCCATATTTCCACCAGTGATGCACCAGGATTCCAGTTTCTACACATTCTCACCAATACTTGTTCTTTTTATTAATCTTTTTTTTTTTTTTTTTTTTAGTTGGAGTCTCACTCTGTTGCCTAGCTGGAGGGCAGTGGTATGCTCACTGTCACCATAGCCTCAACCTACTGGGGCTCAGGCGATCCTTCCACCTCAGCCTTCCAAGTAGCTAGAACCACAGTCATGCGTCACCATGCCTGGCTGATATTTCTGGTTTATTGTAGAGATGAGGTCTCGCCATGTTGCTCAGGCTGGTCTCCAATCCCTGAGTTCGGGTAATCCTCTTGCCTCTGCCTCCCAAAGTGCTAGGATGATAGGCGTGAGCCACTGCACTCAGCTCTTCTCTGTGTTGTTGATTATAGCCATCCTAATGGGTGTGAAATGGTATCTCACTGTGATTTTGCTTTGCATTTCCCTAAGGATTCGTGATGTTTCATGTACTTCTTGGGCATTTGCATATCTTTGGAGAAATGTGTATTCAAGTCCTTTGCCTATTTTGAATCAGGTTGTTTTTGTTGTTGTTGTTGAATTGTAGGAGTTCTTTATATATTCTGAATATTAATACCTTATCAGATATATGATTTGCAAATATTTTTCTCATTCTGTGGGTTACCTTTTCATTCTTTTCATAGCCTCCTTCGATGCACAAAAGTCTTTAATTTTGATGTAGTCTATTTTATCTATTTTTTCTTTTGTTGCTTGTGCTTTTGGTGTCTTCTCCAAGAAATTATCAGCGGGCATGAGAATTTTTTTAAAGCTCCCCAGGTGATTCCAGCGTAGAGGCCAGACTGGGCAGTGTTTCTCCCATTTTAACATGCAGTGGGGTCACCTGAAATCGTGTAAAAATGCATATTTTAGTGTGTTAGGTCTGCGGTGGGGTCCAGGACTCTGCATTTCTGACCAGCTCCTAAGGGATGCTGGAGCTCTGGTCTGTGGACCACTCTGGATGGCGAGGGTCCAGAGGAGCGTGGCAATAATTTCCTTCACCTGGGCCCTAAGAACAGAAGGGACATATTTACCAGCCCTTCTCCCAAGCTGCCTCACCACATGTTTTCCAGTCCGCCATCATGGCAGCCCGCCGCGTGCCCCTTGACTTTCCTCCGGTGCCGAGTAGCCCCGATGGGTGCCTGGGTGCCTTTGGCGTGGCAGAGGAGTTCAATGGAAAGGACTTATTCTCCCCGACCCACTCTCTCTCAGGCCTCGGGGGCGATCATCCACTGGTCTGCTCATGGTAGGTGAATTTGAGATTCACACTAGTGATGCCTTGTCCTCTCTGGCCTTGGCCTCGTGTGGGAACTGCCGTGGACGTCCGCTGAAAAACCGTTTGGCTTGAAATACGTTTAATATGTTCGGAGAGGAAAACCATAGGTTGGTCTGAAGTTTATAGAAGCAGCTCAGGAAAAAAAAAAAAAAACTGCTGAAGGTCTGTGTCTAAAAAAAAATTCTTTAATCCATCATACAATTTTAGAGCCGGAAAAGACCTTTAGTGAACTCCTCCCAAACCTTCATTTTGGGGACATAAGCTGAGACTCAAAGAGGTGGTGACTCGTTCAAGGTCACCAAGCGAAATAGAGGTCAGCCCATAGGTACAGTATTTCATTTTCATCTTGCTTTGGGTTATTTATTTGGAGATGGGTAGCAGAGAGGAGCGGCGTCTTTTATGTAGCTCTTTTAATTAAAAGTTCTACTTCTCAGAGAAAAGGTGAAAATCAAGAAGCCGGATCCTGGCTCTTACCTCTTGAGGGCTTCATCAGAAAATGTCCACCAGTTGGGCTTGTATTACCCTCCTAGGACCTGCCTGCCTGGTGGCAGCGACCTAAATTATATGAGGGGACATCCAAAAATCCAGAATTATCTTTTGGAGGACATGCCCCTGTAGTACAATCTTCCCCCGCTAGGTGAATGTTCTAGGAACCCATCAGCATCCATGGACCAGCTGGCGTTGTGGTGAGAGGTTGTGTCTGGCTTCAGTGAATTTTTTTTTTTTTGGAGATTCTTTCAGTGCGTCTGCACATTTCATGATGGGTGATTTACGAGCGCACCTGCCCATGCTCTGCTGACTGGTCAGCAGTTTGGGGCAAAAATGGCGTGACTTTCATGCTCCACCCTCCCTATTCACCTGATCCCTCCCCAAGTGACTTCTTTTGGTTTCCTCGGATGGAAACAGTTCTCCAAGGGAGACATTTTGCTGATGTGGAAGTGGTGGAACAAAAAACAGCAGAAGCGCTAAAAGATATCACAACTGACAAGTTCCAAAACTGTTTTGGGACATATTGCATCAAACGGAGAGGACTCTGAAGGTGACTGTAGTTTAAACGTGTAGGAATAAATACACGAAATTTTTTTTTGAGTTGGAGTCTCATCCTGTCGCCCAGGCTGGAGTGCAGTGGCATGCTCACGGCCACCTCAGCCTCAACCTACTAGGCTCAGGCGTTCCTTCCGCCTCAGCCTTCCAAGTAGCTGGAACCACAGGCATGCACCACCATGCCCAGCTAATTTTTTGATTGATTGTAGACATGAGGTCTCACCAAGTTGCCCAGGCTGGTCTCAAACCCATGGACTCAGGCAATCTCACCTCGGCCTCCCAAAATGCTAGCATTATAGGCGTGATCCCCCATACCCAGCATGGTTTTTACAAATAAATTCCAGGTTTTTTTGGGTCCCCCCCCACCGTAGGTAGCTTCCAGAAGGCATGCCTGACACCACTTTTCTCTCCCACGCCCATTGCTGGTATTATTTACCGGTTACAGCAGTCTCTCCAGCCACTGCCAATCAGTAGGACTTTGCTCTCCAGTCAGGACCCCTTTGCCATCACTACAGTAGATGTCAGACCTCGAAAGGTCCAGTGACCTTCAAACCCTGCTACGTCCCAGCATGTCTACACTGGTTATTAAATACTCTTTCGTCTTCCGTTCCTCCCCGCCCCCGCCCAGCTGCTCATTAATCCAATTATGACTTTTCTTTATCCGATCAAACTTTCTGCCAAGTCACAGAGCTCCGCAGTCATGCGTGATGTGTTTGTCTTCAGTGATTAGACAGCGCGGTGGAAGATGCTGTCTCGTTCCGACGTCTCTGTCCTTTGGAGCGACCTCGGTCCGGTAGTGTCACCCCCCAGGACTGCACTACAAGAACCTCCTTCTGGGTTTCTGCCCTGCGGTGGAAGCCTTGCCCCAGCCTCCCCAGCAAGGCATTAGAGGGGGCTGCTGGGTCACGTGGGCTCCGAAGGCAGTGCCTGGTCCTTCCTTGGCCTCTGGGTCCTTGCACAGGAGAAAGCTCGCTTACTGGCAGGAGCATCTGTCTCCGTCCGGGGCGACAGTCTACAGATCCTCCTTGCCATTCCCTTCATGAAGACATCAACCTCCTTCAGCCTTGCTGTCGGCTGCCAGATGCACTGACAAGCCAGTCGGAAAAGTCCCGTCCAGGAGAGGCTTGCTGCCTTCTAAGGCAGGAAAGGACCACTCTGCCCACCGGGGCAGGACCGCACAGCCTGCCTCTGTGGGACTCCTTCCAGGGGAGCCTCTGCGTTCTGGTCCAGGCCCACGGGCGGAGTCTCAGGATGGTGCCGTCGGGAGCGTCCAAGTGTCTCCTTGCTCGCATGCAAAGCGGGTGGAGTCCTTCCGCCTCCTTGGCCGCTCTCAGCCACCTCCGGGGTGCTTGCCACTGGCTCTCTGGCCCCAGGCTGCTTGGCAACACCAAGTTATGTTAGCGATACAGCAATGAATTATACAATGCATTATACATCATTAATTTATAATAAAACACGCACGCAAGGGTTTAATTTCTCCAAGCGAATGGTGTGCTACCCGCCAATTCTGCCGGGATGCCTCCCCTAGTGACCGCTTCTGTCAGGAGGTGATGGCTGGCGGCCCTGGGCAGGGATCTTGGCTTGGGGAACCCAGCAGGCCCCAGGCTCCCCCTGAGCTACCTCTGGGGCCAAGTCCCACGGGAGGGCAGTCCCTCACTGCCTCTGACATTCCAGGTCTGGGCGCTCAGGAGGGTCTCGCCCAAACTCCGCACCATCTGGATCCAGGACATTCTTCATTCTCCCAAGGTTGGGAAACGCATATGTTCATGCTCTACTTCCTTTCTTTTCTTCCTTCCTTCTTTCCTTCTTTCCTTCTTCCCTCCCTCCTTCCCCCCTTTCCTCCTCCCTCCCTTCCACAAATATGTCCCGAGCACCTGTCATGTGCACCATCCTAGGCTTGGCGTACGTCAGTAGATAACAGACAAAGGTCCTTGCCCGAGTGGAGTTTCCGTTCTATCCCGGGGAGACAATCGATATGAAGGATAATAAATAAATGACAGTGCATGTCACAGTGATCAGTGCTCTAGAGAGCGTGAGAGCCTAACAGGCCAAGGGGGGTCGGCCATGATGGGACAGTTGCAGCCTGAGAGCGGACGGTCGGGCAGGGCTAGTGGGGAGGCCGCAGCCTGGGATTGCCGAGGCTCCGTGAGTGGGGGATGGAACCTCTGGGCCTCCCGGGATCAGTTTCCCCAGCCCGCCCTGGTGCCCGGTTCTTTCGGTGACGCTTGCCGCCTCTGGTTTCAGATGCTCAGAATGCCGCCGGTCTTGCTGCTAGTGTGGCTGCTGCCCCTGACGGAGGGGTCCCAGCGGGCAGAGCCCATGTTCACGGCCGTCACCAACTCGGTTCTGCCGCCCGACTACGACAGCAACCCCACCCAGCTCAACTACGGAGTGGCCGTCACGGATGTGGACCATGACGGGGACTTCGAGATCGTCGTGGCAGGGTGAGTGCCTCCCACCCTGAGGGTGGTGGAGAAGTGAGTCCGCTTGGCTGTTGATAAGACTGGGGAGTAGCTGGCTTCAAACCCAGTGACTTGTAGCCACACGGGTCTCAGTCTTGGGCCGGTGGTCTTCCGAGCTCCGTGGCAGCGTGGAGGGGCCCAGCCGCGGCTCTGGGTGCTGCGACCGGGCCTTTTGCAGGGAACTGGGATGGACAGAGCTTGGAAGGAGGGTGTTTATGCACAAGATTTCGGGGAGGAGATGAGGACGCTTCACTCTCTCCTCCCCATGTTTAAGCCCCCTGGTCTCAGGTGTCACGTCCTCTCAGTGGGCTCTAGGATGTCACATGACAGTGGCTTGGAGAGGGCTCTAGATCTCTATATGAGAGGAACCCCAGGTTGACAATCATATCGACGGATGAATGAAGCTGCCTTTGCTTAGCACTTTACACACAGCCAAGAAAGCATGAATTGGCCATTCCTGAGGAGGGGAGGTGGGACAGTGAGAGGAATAGCTGGATCTTCTCCAACCACACTGGGTTCCCACTGCCCCTTCTCTCCTGAAAAGCAACGCCAGGTCACAAGAGAAGCGTGAGACTTGCAGTCCCCATGGCCCAAGTCTGTGCCTAGATGTCGAGCTTTCTAGCGTCTGACCTCGAGTCAGCCCTTGACCTCCCAACATTCAGATGTGTCATCTGTGAACACGGGGGTAGCTGGAATGCCTTGTGGCACGAGGTGCCCCCTGGCTGCCTCACGGACGGTGCTTTGTCACTCTGCCAGTCACACCTGGAGTCACCACTGGTGAGGCCCTGACAGGTCCAGGCTCTGTGCATCACCTCACTTCATGTGTATTTTATCCCCGACAACACTGGGAGTTGAGTGTGTGGCCACTTCCACAGAGAAAAGGAAGGTGGGGTCAGAGACAGGAAGCAGCGTGCTTTCTGCCGAGTCAACAGTCAGTAGCGGAGTCAGGACCTGCACCCCGAGGCCACCTGACGCCAGAGCTGCCCAACGACACTGTACAGAGTTTAGTTATCACTTCAGAAATCACTCAATCAATAGAAGCACTCCAGGGGCCTGCCGACCTCGTTCTGGGAGGCCTGAGCTTTTATGGTGAGCACTAAACACAGCAACTGGCGGGTCACGTTATTTGTAGCCGTTGCTTGCCACAGCAGAAAGCCTTCACCTTGGATCCGGAGGAACCTGGTTTTAATTCTAACCACACCTGACCCAATACCTGTGAACCTTATGCAATGTGTTTTACGAAGACCCGCTCTCTTCCTCTATAAAATGGGCCTGTTGAAATCTCCCCGCCCACCTCACAGGCAGTCATGAGGGTCAGCCTAGAAAGGGTACTTTGTCAAGTGCAGTGTTTCTTTCATGGATGCATTTCTTCGACACTGTGAAAAGTAGAGATACTCGATTCTAGACCTTCTAGAAGATCTAGGTTGGTGTGCTCTTCAATAGAACTTTCTGTGATGACGTAAATGTTCTTGTTGGTGCTGTCCAATAGGGCAGCGGTCCCCAACCTTTTTGGCATCAGGGACCGGTCTCGTGGAAGACAGGGATGGGGGGAGGGGGTGGGATGGTGGGGACAGGGGGGATGGGGGATCACCAGGCATTCGATTCTCAAAAGGAACGAGCAATCTAGATCCCTTTCATGTACAGTTCACAGTAGGGTTTGCGCTT